AATTTTATAGAGACAATAGCTTGCAAATATTTTATTACAATTTTGCTATAGGCATTTAAAACTTGCATTTTTTCTTGACTTATGCACATACATATGCTTCTGATACGACACCAATATGTTTAAGTTTAAACTGCACACAGTACACTTAAATGTATTCATAATTATCAAATAATATTTACTCTAAGAAACGCAGTTTTCAAAATACTGTTTAACATATAAAAATGCTGATAAATTAACTACGAATATGGTACAAATATTGTGACAATACCCGGACGCAAGAAAATTTTAATTAATGTGTTCATATAGTTTGACAGCGAAACATGGCACACTTTGATTTTTTATTTTTTTCAAACACTTCATGTTTACTTTTGTATTCAATATTTGTGCGTAGGAAAACATTCAAATTATATTGTGGAATTCTAAACACAAAGTGTTCAAAAACTACACTGTTTTACACATAAAATGTTTAAAATTGATTAAATATGGGCACTTAATGTTTATTATTAGTAGAGAATGTATTTTTACGTTCAAATTGTTTCCAAGTTTAAGCATTTCATGTTTAAAACCCAATCTTGAACATCTAATGTGTCTATTTACACACATTATGGTTGAGAAATAAACACTTTTCAGTAGTAGTTTTACATGCACTTTTTAGAGTGTAGCATTGACTGACTCAATACTAAATCTCTAAGTGCGGAGTTCTCCAATTTAAAGGAAGGACTACAGTATGTGTTTGTAGAGGTAAACGAGGGCAAAACAAGGTACTTCATGTCACTGTTGGCGGCAATAACTTTAAAGTATTTATATTTAAAATTCAGCGCTATGTGTGTTTGTATGTATAATGCCAGCCCTTTTGCAACATATGTAGATTAGACTATCCCAAAAAACCTGGGGTTTTTTTTTAACGCATACCCCCTCATTTTATTTGTTTTGAATTTTATGCAATTCGGACCACGGCAGCTAAACGAAATTTACTTCATGGTTGAAAAATTTTTTCCTTAAAAAAATTTCTGTTGTTCTTTAGTTAATCTATCTTAATTATATTTACCTTATTTCCGTCTGTGAAAATTTTGGCGACAATTATTTGGCGGGTTGGAAACCCGTCCACGCGTGCTTCGAGAAATGAAAGCTGAAGTTGACACAAAAAAATTGCACTCCTGTGATATGGAATTTAGTTATGTTTTAATTGGTTTTCGTTTTCCTTAATTGCTTCGCAGTAGCCAGCAACCCGCTAGACACATTAAGCACTTATGTAAGTGTTAGAAGAGTCTACAACAGTCGTATCTGTTTGCTTAGCACTTTTCAGTTATAAACAAGTACTTGAACGATATCCCGTTTTTTTTTTTTATTTTACTTCATAAACTTTTCCAACTCTCACGCACGAGCAATTTAATTTCACTGCAAACAATGATTTTATTTTTATTGGGCGACTATACAAATCTTTGTTGTGTTTCCATGCACATATGTATGTACATATGTTGGAGTGTAGGTATGTGTAAACACTTCCTCGCAGCGGTGTATAAATCACGTCCTTTTTAGCAGCAGCAAAAAAAGTTTTAGTGCCGCACAATTACGCGCTTAATTATCCACAAAATAGGCAGCGCGCTTAGCACAGACAGCGCAAGGCAGCGGAAGTGGAAGAATGCTCGCACTAAACGCAGGTGAGTGGATGAGTGATTGCAACGAGCAGGCATACAAAGGAAAAATACACTAAAACTGTTGTATGTAGCAGAAATCCACACATACACGCACAGGTAAATATGTACGTGTAATTTAGTTTCAGTTTCAGTTTAGTTTAAATACCAGCAAAAAGTGTGGCATCCATGCACTTTTCAACTTTGATGCGCGCGTGTTTCGCATACAACAACAACAACAACAAAATAGCAGTGTAGCGTAGCTATTTGAAAGTTTCTTCGTTTTTTTTTTTGTTTTTTTTTTTTATAGAGTAACGGTAAACTGATACACAAACGTATGCTTTCGATACTGTCGATGCAGGTAAAGTTAAAACTTTTGTGGCAGCTGCGCAGGTGGAGTTTATATGAAGTTTGTGTGGTGCATATGCGGCCAGCAGCAGCGTTGATTGAAGCACTTGCAACGGTAGAAACGAGGTTTGGGGTTAAGTTTAGGAGTCCAATGTTTCTTGCAGATTTTGTGGTGCGCAATTTTCGAAAGTTGAGAAGAAGTGAAAAGAGTCTGTGAAAAAGTGTGCGGGGAAGAAAATTCTTAAGCTTTTTCTTGAATGGAAGTTTTAGGCGTTTTTGTGCAATTTTTGCCAAGTAAGTACATATTTTAATTTTCCGTGGTAAATTTTTTTATAAAACTTTTTTTTTTGGTTTTAGTTTTTTTGTGTAGTTTTTGTCAAGTAAATATTTCACAGTATTAATTATCTGTGTAAAAATTTTTTTAATATTGTTTGTTTTAGTTTTTAACTTTCTCAAATTAAAAAATATTTAATTTTTGAAAAAGTGTAGGCAATTTACTTTTTTTTTTTAATTTTACACATAAAAAAACTTGAAAATCCAAAAATTTCGCACTTTCGCTTTAACTTGATTAAGAAACTAATTTTTTCATTTTTTTTTTTAGTTTTTGTCGGAACTCAAATTATTAGCAAATTATTTAGATTTTGATGAAGAAGTTTTTTATTTTAAATTTTTACATTGAAAATTTAAATTTTAAGTTTTAAGTTTTTTTTTATTTTACATAATTTGTTGAATTTCAAGAAAAAATTTGTTTAACAAAATTTATCTTTTTTTGATGTCCCTTTGCTTTGGTTCGTCTAATAACTTTTCGTTGTGAAAACTTTTTAAATAATTTTTTAGTTTTTAAAATTTTTTGGGTGGTTAAAGTTTACTTCCAAAAACTAAGTTTTACCCAAAATTCCTGTAATATTTTGCGAAGTTTTTTTCATTGACTTTTTTTCTGCACAAATCGCATGAATTTTCAGCGTTTTCTTGCCACACTTGCCACACACGGCTACACGCAAAATTAAGCAATCAAAACGCTACTTGAGCAAAACAATTTTTTAACCGGCTAATACCGTTACGCGTGCTTACACGCTTACTGTTCGCTAACGAATGATCTAATGCGATTCGTTGCCGTTGCTCTAATTTGAATTGATTATGTTTTGCGACTGGCTGACTGTTGGCTAGCGGCGGCTGCTGTGGATGACGCGGCGGCGGCGACGACACGCGACGGCACTGTGACAACAAATACGGACAGCGATTATAAAAGGCTGCTGGAACTGTAGCAGCGCTTGATGACTAGTGGCTCAGCTTTCTGTGGCAACTATGTGTGGCATGCCGACTGAGGATCGCACGCGGCGCTGCAGCAAAGCACAACGCACGTACGTATGTACATATGTATGTACATAAATGCGGCAAGAGGGCTGGGCGCGGCGCCTTAATGTATGCTGCCAGCTCCGCTTTTACTGCTGATGGTGGTGCTGCCGCTGCAATTGCTATTCACTGAGCTTAGGGGATGAGTTCACTACATAGTTAGGAGTATGTGTGTGTGCCTTTGAGGGTGTTTGTGTTTGTTTATTGCTTTGTGTGCTTTTATGGGGCTGTCCTTAGCGTTCACATTTCCCCTATGCCAATCAAAAATTTCCCGCTATTTGTAGCGCGTGTGCCGTGGCGATGCGTCTGCGCTTACTCTCTTTAGCGCCTTTGTTGTTGTTTGCATTGGGTTTTTTTTTAGCACTACTACTCGCTGGTGGTGCCTGTGCTACGCACACAGACAAAATCTTGAAAATTTTTGCAAAGACAGCGAATATCTTGCGCTCTCGCCAGCTCAGCGTTTTCTTTGGGGCGCCAACGCTTCCCTTCCCTTCCCTTTCCCTATATCCTAATTTTATCAGATTTTTTTTTCCTATCGCTTGCTGCCTTTGTGAAAATCGAATTTTCATTGACTGCCTTTAGCTCATTTTCCTTGCTTTCCATGCCTTCCTCGTCCTCCTTGCGCCCCTCGCCTCCTTCATCTGACAGCTTCCAATTCCATGCACCTCGCTGTTGTGTACTGCTACGCCCTCCTTTCCTCCTTAAGGCACTATTAATGTTCCTACATCAATTGTTGTTGTTGTTGTAGTTGTCCTTGCCACACCGCTTTTGTATCATTTTTTCTTGATACTTTCTCTTTATCTGGCATCCTGACTACTTTATTTTATTACAGCCATTTGAGGTTGATTTTTTTGCGCTCCTCGCAAACGAATGTTTTCATTTTCAGCTGAAGGCATTGTTGTTGTTGTTGCTATTTTTTGTGCTTTCTTTTTGTATTATTATTTTTCTTTTTTTCCTTTTTTGTTTCTGATTCCTGCCCCCCATAAAATATATTTGCTACTACAGCAAAGCTTACTTGCGCTCTCGCTCTCTCTTCCCCTTTGCACAAGCTCTCTACACAAGCCAAAGTGAGAAGCATAGCAAAAAATTTAATTTCACATCATCAGCCACATCTCTTGCTCCTCTGTCCTATCCACGCCATTAAGTGGGTGGTGGCAGCCCTGCTCCCCTATAGCCACTTCTACAGTTACATTCGGTGCTACAGCCAGCACTTGCTCTGCTCCAAACGATTACTCACTGTGGAATTTATTTGGGATATCATTTTTGACAACTCAATTTATTTTTATTAATTTTCTGCAACTTCCCTCCCGCTCGACGTCAGCAACCATGCTGCTGCTGCTGCGGCGCGCCCTCCCTTTTATGCCCGCTCGTTGGCACCAGCTCTACGTTTCCAACAGCCTTCGTGCAGTTTCATACATATTTATTTGTCCACCCAATCGCCTTGATAGCTGCCACCAGCACTCCCCCCCGCCCACCGCCTGCCACACCGCACCGCAATACGTGTAAGTGAATTTCAGTTAATTTATTATCGGGAATTATTGCCTTTATTGTTATGGTTATTCCACTCTATTCAATTCGAACTCATCTCATGCCTGCTACGAATTTCGTTGAAATCAGCTAACAGCGTAAACTTTGCAACCAAATCCTTTAGCAAAACGTTGGTGGAGGCTACTCAGTCAGCTTCAACTTGGCTTGTTGGCCACACAGTGTTCTGCTGCACTCGTGGTTGCCATTGCCATTACAGTCGGTTGGTTGGCATTGCTTTTTGGCTTTGGCACATTTGTACTTGTCGCTGCTGTTGTTGCTTGGCAGCTGTACACTGGCACGCTTGCAGATACTTAGGTTGCTTGTGGTGTCGTTTAAAGTGACTGCTGAATTGTGGCGGCTGCCTGGTGTCATCACTGAGCTGCAATTAGGAAATGAATTTGTGGAGAATTACTTGCTCGTTTGGTTTTTGTATTTGTTTTTCTTTTTTGCTTTGGCGGGTTTCGTGTGTAATTTTTGCTTGTGGGCCCCCTAAATTGGTTGAAGGCTTTTTGTCAAATGGTTTGATATACATACATACATACATTTCATATACAGAAAGTAATGAGTTTTTGTGCACAGATGTAAAAGTTATTATGGCCAGTTAAGGTGATAGAAGGGTTATTTAGATAAAATGGAAGAGCAAGAGTAAATTCAGTTATTGAATCGTTAAACTAACTACGAGTGTTATGCTAAGCAAAATGAAAATGCATACTGATACCAATACAAGTTTTTCTGAAGCGGGTTTCCGTTCCACTGGCAGGTTCCACTGTGTTTTAAATCTCTTATGCCGAATTTCCACTAGGCATTGAAATGACAAAAAATGTATACAATTTAAAAAAAAATGACATGTGGAAATGAACTTAATGAGCATTTTTTCATGTAATGACACGATTTTAATGCCCGACTTTGTACTTTGTCTTTTTGCCATTTAATGCCTAGTGAAAATTCAGCATTAGAAATAAAAAAAAGTTATCACCTCACTAAGGTAACCACAAAATTTTTTAATTTTTGTGGACCCATCAAAATGCTTCACCTCAAATCGATGTAGTTCATGAGCTTGACTGGACAGCAATTGCCCTAACGTGCATTTTTTTCATCATAACATTTTTATGCGGAATCATTTTGGATAGTAAATATCCTTGAGCTAGAGCCCTATTGATGAATTTCTAAGCCTGGATGTCCGAAAGGTTTTCATTTTCCCTGATAAATTCATAAAGCGGAAAGGTGTCTTAAAACTTAAACCGACGGCAGCGTTGATCCGGATTAACTCTGACTTAATTCGGATCAACTGCAGTTAATTCCCGAGTTGATCCGGATCAACGCTGCCGTCTGTTTATGCTTTTACTCTAGATTTAAGGTCATATCGCACCCTAAATAAAAAACCGGCACAACTCAAAATTGGTCAAAATTTATTTTTTTCCATAAAACAGTTCACAGACCGTATACCCAACGTCCGCGAAAATTTCTTCCTCATCACTATCTTCTTTAACAGGAAAAATACTACTAAAACTTTTTAGTTTTGCTTGCATCAATTGCACAGCGTCAACAGTTGTCTGCCTCTCCTGAACATTTAGGATATTTTGAGTTGTGCCGGTTTTTGATTTAGTGTGCGATATATTCACCGATTATGTCCACCGCTACGTCGATGCGATCCAAAGGGCAGCAATGAGAGCGATGTCTCGACCACATTGTGGAACGATAATCGGCTTGCCGGTCATATTTGTTCAGAAGGTTGGCAAAACAATACCCTTTCCTAAACCCCAAAGCCTACTTCGTAAATTCTTTAACAGAGAAAAACGGGCAAATACTGACACACTATTTGGTTCTCGGTAATAATTTTCCATACTGACGGCTCCAAGAGGAAGAAAAGGAGATCCGTAGGTTGCAGTGGGTAACTCAGGTTGTTTGTCTGTCTAAGGTAAAATTTAAACGAAGAAATCTTTTCAATACTATGGTAGC